CCCCCGTTCCCAGCCTGCCTGGGCCGCGCTGCTCGGTCTCTAGAGCAGGGTTCCTCAGGCAGCGGGGCGAGTACCCTGAAATGTGGAGAAAACTGAATGTTTGGGTTCAGCTTTCCAGACGTTTCATCGCCCGCCCAGCTACCATTGAGCTGTTTAAACAGATGTGTTGCAACGGTAGAAAAAATGTTTGTGCCTCTGAGAACTGTAGGTACTGGGGGTACTTTTTTTAAAGGTGTACTTACCCCTTTTTTTAAATATACTTTATAAAGGTTGAGACACTATTCTAGACAGGGGCCTGCCCCAGACTCCCTGCATGGGGCTGTTTCTCTGCCCTCGCTGCCTGGCCCCCGGCTGCGTCCTGCAGCTGAAATAACCACCTGCTCCTAGGGGTTGCTGGGGTCACGCCGCTGACACGCTCACCCCAGGGCTTCCTGCAGCCGGCCCCTGACTGAACTTGGGCTGATGGGTCAGAGACAGACACTGGCCCCCAGCAGCCCTGGTACAGACAGTGTCTGGCCAAGCCCTCCCAGCCTGGACCCAGCTGCGGCACTGGGTCATGCCCAGAACCCCTAATGGGAATGGGAGGGGGACTCGCAGCCCCTCCCTGTCCCATCTCTCCAGGGCCTGTGGCTGCCCTGGGCCCCGGGCGGCTGATGGAGCCCAGAGGCTCGGGATCCGGGGATGGGCTCTCTTGGCTGGCGGTCGGGCCGGGCCTTCATTGTGCTCCCCTCTGCTGGCAGGAGCTGAAGGCTCACCAGGCCCCTCTCCGCCCAGGCCCTTTGTCCTGACCCCTCTGTGCTGCCGTCTCTGCAGGCTGCTCCCTGAAGGTGCTGGCCGACAACGAGCGCTACACCTGGATCGTCTTGTGACGGGCTCCTGGCCGTCGGATTGAACTACCTCCTCCCGGTTGAGTCTCGTTTGGTTTTCATTTCTCTTCGTCCTTTTTTAATTAGCGCAACTCGTGCTTTTGCTGGAAGGGGCTGGACGTAGGAGTCTCCGGGGGGAGGGGACGCCTTCCTCCCGGGCCCTGGGGTTTGGCCCGCGCGCAGCGTGTCTGGCTGGGACTCGAGCTGGCGGGACGGGGGGAGGGGACCTGACCCTCGTCCCCGTGAGCTGCGGTGACTTACGCTCAGCGTGATCAGCAGGGCTCCGCGTCAGGCCCCCGCCTTCCGCCCCTGCTTTTGGAGGTGGTGGATTGTTAACTCCGCTCGGGCCACGCCTGGCCTGGGGAGGCAGCACGGCGGAGGGGAGCCCCCCGGCCAACGTGCCCCTGGGCCGGTTCCGGTCCCGTTCGGTGGGTATTTAAGCGTGAGCTGCGGTGACTTACGCTCAGCGTGATCAGCAGGGCTCCGCGTCAGGCCCCCGCCTTCCGCCCCTGCTTTTGGAGGTGGTGGATTGTTAACTCCGCTCGGGCCACGCCTGGCCTGGGGAGGCAGCACGGCGGAGGGGAGCCCCCCGGCCAACGTGCCCCTGGGCCGGTTCCGGTCCCGTTCGGTGGGTATTTAAGTGTCATTCTCTGTTCGGTGTTTACGGCACTTTTCCCAGTGGAGGAGGTTTTCCCTTGGGAGTCCAGATAGCTCCCCTCCCCCGCACA